AAACCCAAAAACCAACTCTCACTTCTTCTTCTCTCTGATGTTCAGCTGCCAAACGTGCAGAACGTGAATGTACGAATGTACGAATGGGAGTGAGTGAGTGCAGTGTTGGCAAAGTTTTTCTGTGGAGGCAAGTCTCACGACCAAATTGACACGCTTGGTGGCTTTTCCTCTCGTCTACTTCAATTTTGAAATACTTTATCGCATGTTGTACGAGGGAACAATTTCGTGCAGTGAGTTCCTTCCTGGAGGAAGTTATCCTATGTAATGAACACCGCGTCGAATTCCTTCAGACATTACAATAATGAAATACATTACGTCGTCCGCCATATCGATTTCCCGCTTGATTACTGTAATCCCACGGAGTTAGCAGATTTTGAAACAAACGTAATTACAATGTTGTGTGTGAGAAGATTGACCAGGGTTTAATTACCGGGTTGGGGTTGAGAGAGGTGTGGGAAATTCGTAATTTTGACGGGTGCTGGGCTGCTACTTATGTATGTACATATGTTTTAAACAAGGATTGTTCTACATTTGGGATTGTTAACTGATTAAAATTATAACGTGTACATTCATACGGTTACATACACTCTTAGAAATCCGGTATTAAAATAATAACAGGAGGTATTCATACTTGTACAGTACAGTAATAGCTCGGTATTAAAGTTTTACCGTATTGGTAATAAATTTCTACAGATCGGTACAATTTAACACCGATAAATCAATGCCTGCTTGACTATGTCAGATTTTTAAAAGTGTAGAAAATTTCAATGTATGCAAAAATTATGCAAATTAAGAAAAACATAAGTTTTATCTGATTGGCACGTTGTCTCGAAAATCAGACAACATTCGAAACAAGATCCGAGACTAATTGGGAGCACATAATCAAAATAATGCCCATGAAATGTATAACATATGTAACTTTCACCTTATGTATAAGGACCTCCACTATTACGACCAAACTCTGCACGTCAACAATTCCCCGACCACTTTGGAAAATAAACTCGGCGACACCCAACGAAACACTGGGAAATATCTGCATCTTGTTTTCCCAACCGAAAAATGTACGTACGCCGAGAGATTGACAATAGACCAAGATTTCAATCCAGGTCGTCACAACGGGAGACCTTTCCCTGCTGAATACTAACACGTTATTCCGCACTCTTCGTGTGCATGCTAAACTGGATTAAACAAGTCTACCTCACTCCGGGATAACGTATGTACAAATTCATGCCCAGCAGCGAACGAGTTTGAGACGAATGTTTTGAAAATATTTATTTTGATCAAAACACATCCACTTCCTAACGAGCATTAGAACGAGGTGGTGATTACAGCGATGCCATACATATTTATGTAAACTCAGGGTTTCGGGTGGGAGTAACCACGTGCAAGAAATAGAGGGGAGAAAGTGGTATTTTTACGGGTATTTCGACCTGCAAGAAATGCAAGGTGTGAGAAACTATGCCCCGGCGCTTTAATTCATAGGGCACGTGGCTAGATAGCTCAAATTTCTTGCATTTTATCCCAGTTTCTTGCACCTCGCATTTCTTGAATCCCAAATTTCTTTCTTTTCTTGCAGTTTCGTGCACCTCGCATTTCTTGTGTTTCTGACACTTTCTTGCATTTGTTTCCTTCCTATGCAAGAAATATATCAAACCCGTAAAAAACGAAACCCTGCACGGACTGGATTTAGGAATCAGTCGAAATAACAAGGATATGCACATACATAAATGAGACCACCTATTTATCACACTTTCACCTCTATTCCCAAGGATGCCCATATGTACCTCGCACCATGTATGCTACCAGTTATCTCCTTCATTTACCTCGTCGCCGTCCTGGTCGTCGTCACGATCGTGATGATGCTCATCATCACCGTCGTCATCTCTCCCAAAAGCAATTAGTCGCTCAACTCATCACTTCATCTCCATTCAATCCCACTTTTGCAGAAGTGAAACTCAATCCTCTGGGACAACCTGGATCCATCCGCATCATCCTCCTCATCCCGCTCGCTCCGTGAGTGAGAGTCAGTTATGAGAGATGCCAGACTCATTACTCTCTCACTCCCACTTCCACTTTCAAGTGTGTTTTAATTTCCTTCAACATTCTCTCTTTTGATATTTGAATAATAATAATAATAACGTTAATGAGATGTGATCCGATTTAATGAACCAGCAGGTTTGATTAATTCTGGGAAACTTTGAGATTTTGTTTTGCTTTCTCTCGTTTTTTTTAAATTGGTCTAAATTATTTGTATAAGGCATTCTCTCTTTTGATTTTGAATAATAATAATAGTAATGAGATGTGATCCGATCTAATGTACTCGCAGGTTTGTAGCACGTGGCGTGATTAATTCTGGGAAACTTTGAGATTTTTTTTACTTTCTCGTTTTTTTAAATTGATCTATGTAAATTCTGTATACAACAATTATTCTTTCTTTTAATATTTGAAAAATAATAATCATAATAATCGTAATGAGATCTAATCCAATCTAATGAACCAGCAGGTTTTTTGCATCACGTGGCGTGATTAATTCTGGGAAACTTTGAGATTTTTTTTCCTTTTTAAAATTCTGTGTATGCCAGTTTCAATTTTTTTCCTCGTGTCAGATTAGATTTGCCTATACATATTTATTTTGAGAAGAGAAGCAGGCAATTTCCCAGGTATCATGGTTTCATCACAGGAAAAGAGGAAGAAGAAGACGTGAGTTGTGTTAGTGGGTGCCTGCCCAGGCCGAGGGAAGAAGAATAGATGGTGAAAGTCGTGAAAGTGAAAATCGATAATTGAGGAGGAACGTAAGACCAAAGGAGCCTAATAACGAGTCAAAGTCAGTCTGGAGTATCCTTCTCAAACCAAGTTACGTTTTCCAGCTTCACGTACATACATACATTTCTTCCCTCGTACATGCATATTCCGTCGTCCGTGATCCATATTTTCGTGATCTATCTGCCAGAAAGATTTCCAATTTTGCAGCTTTCCCTATTTCATTTCATCCTGGTAAATAAGGGGCAGGCGGAATATGTGTGAAAGTGAGTGAAGGATTCATATTCATGCCCATCAGCCAGCGGTGGGTTGAGTGAGTGAGTGAGTGAGAGAGAAGGGGCAAATATATGTCAATCAGACAGAGGTCGAGCTGATTTTCGGAATGATGCCACATAGGAATTATTACTGGGTTGATTTTGCATATGTTTTTACGGTGTATGGAATTATACACTTTTCTTTCTTTGCTTCTACAAATTTTACCAGGATTCAGGATCTATGTATGCTTTAATTTAAACAGAAATTAACGAAACGTAGCTATATGGTGAAACAAGTAATTTCCCAAAAAAATGTGACCACACCCCCTGACCTCGAGGGAGGGGGTGGTCCAATTGACTCCAAAAGTTGATAGCATCTGAGATCATATTTACGATGCCGCAAACCGATCTCGATTATCTCGACCCGTTTTCTCGCGTTATCCTGCCGACGGACAAATGAACGGACAGACAGACGGACAAACTTTGTGCTTAATAGGGTTTCACTATATAATTATGTGGACGTGGTTGCTTAAGGTTTCATACTTCACTTCACTCCTTTGTAACCTGCACCAGAGTTAAAAAATTACAACATTGGCGCAAGTTCCCAAAAAGTGAAAGCATAAACCCACCTTTCCAAAGAATTCTGAATAACCATATAAGCACATACACACCAAAGTCCGTGCAGGTTTACTTCGTCAAGGTATTTCTTTCATCCTCCCTTTTGCCCACACAATAATAATAATAAATATCTGTGTATGCATTCATGTGGAAATGGGGACAAGTGATTCGCTTTCTCCTTCTTCCACTAAAAGCAGAGCGAAAGAGAGAGAGAGCTTCGTAATCCTGGCCCAAACTTGAATCAAACCACTCGGCTTGCAATTACAATCAGCCTTTTTGATCATTCCTTTGTACGAGGAGAGTAGCAGCAGCATTATGAAGAGAAAGAAGGAAGGAAGCCGGAGAGAGAGAGCTCTGTGTGCGTATCCTTACATACAAATTCCCTCCTTTTCCCTTATAATTATCAGTTCTATAGAAATTCATACCCTTCACAAACGAGGAGTAAGTAGTCACTAGTGCTGTACACACAAACACAGGCCCAGTTTCCTGAGTACACCAATGGAGAAAGCCTTATTTGTACGTATGCACGAGATTTTCAAGAGTTTTTCCAGCTCGTGGTTTCATTTTTGGTTGGTAGTTTGACTATAAGGATTGCAAACCTGTGCCAATTTTTTGTAATGGGGATTTCGAATTTTCCGATTATCAATTCGGATTTAAATCGGTTTTGAAATCATTTCAAAATTGTAGGTATTGAAGAATTTTATGCACGTTTTTATCCAACATTTATGGATCGACTATGTAATCCTGCATGTGAGTAATAAGTAATCAAACGTGTCGTACTGGGAGAATAATTTTAACCTCTCACCTTCACATTTTGACTTCCTTTTGATGTGTGGTGGTAACTGTGGGGTTTCGTTGGTTCTCAATGCTTTGATTCTATCAAAAGGGTTAAAAATAAAGACGAAAACAAGGCGCTTTCGCTCGTTTAAAGCTTCGCCGAAAATCCAATTTTACTCAGATTTTTGTAATTATTGCCCCAGTTGCTTTATCAATTTCAAGATCTAATTTTACTTTTTGAAATTATAATTTAACGGCATTTGGAAAATAGAAGTTATGGCGCTAGAATAATTACATACATATTTTATATCGGCCAAGGAATTATCTTGCAATCGACGTCCAAAAAGTGCATGCATTCTGAGTCAGCCCATGTATTGGCCTTGCAAAAAAATTAACCTGTTTCAACTTAATTTATGAAATGATGATGAAATGATGATGAAATGAAACGATTTCTAAAATCCAAATTTTGTTTCTTTGAAGTCCGGATAACTCGAATTCGCAAAAACCAGATTTCCAATCCCAACTAATAACACGCCTCTATCTTTATCTTCACCATGCTTATTAATATCAAACCAAAACAAAGGTGCTTACCCAATCCGATTTTCTGCATTGCATTTCACTCAACTCAGATGTCCATTAATTACTCGGCGAGTTGACGATGACGATAACGATGACGATGATAACTTGGCAGAGCTGAAGTACCCAGGAAGACGACAACCACTACGACTTGCTCCTCTCTCTCGCGAAACTTTCTCCACCCGAAAAGTCCCAGTGTTTTGTCTCCGTATTACGTAAGTAAGTAATGGCAGTAATCACTCGTAATAATTTTAGCACATGTGTCTCACACAGTCATTCAAAATAGTACGGGCAGGTAAGTAGGTAGATATGTATGTCGGTAGTTAGCTTTCTGCTGATTGGTCACACAATAAAGGATGCGAAGGGGTCGTGATTGCTGTAAACCTAATGAACACTGAAGCCCCGTACTTAACAATATTTATGTATGTAAATATCTCCCTTTTAGTAAAACTGATGTATATCAGCTTCGTCTACGAGTGCAAAGTACGCGTATACACTTAGTCTCTGTCCTCATCGTTCCATTAAATTACAATTCGAGGTGATTTTTTAGCACAAATTTAATTTTCCAGGTGACTTTTTTTAGTATCAGGACATTTTCCCCCCTGCTTTCCGACACGATCCCGAGAGGGAAAAGAAGAACCTGGAAAAATACAAGAGAGAAGGATTTAGAGTTTTAATGAAATATTAAAGTCTGACCTTTAATATCCATCCGGAGAAATATTTATTAGCCAAAAAGAGGGAGGAAGGAAGGAGAGAGAGAGAGAAAGAAAGAAGAAAGCACTTTTCTATTCCATCTAAACTTCTGACGCCAAGAGCATTAAATGTGTAGTGACATTAAACAAAAACTTTCCCGCATCAAGAGCAAATAACGCGAGACTTTCTCCCTTTCCGTATTCTGGTCGGCCTACTTTCACCCGATCCATTAGTCGTAGAATTTTAAATTAAAACATTCCACTTTTTCTCAACCAAGCCACGCCACCAAAACCTACACCAACGTGGCAGCCTTGCTTGCTTGGGTGGAGGATGGGGGGAGAGAATTAATCCAATGAAGTAAAAGTGGAATGGATGTGGACGTAAATGATGGGCTTACACCGGATGGAAATAGGATATGACTTGCATATGGACTAACTGAATTAAATATGAAACATCATTTTACTCCTACAGCTCCTCCTCCTAGAGTCCTCTTTATCCAAGTAGATTTGACTACACGGTTAAAAATCTGGGAGAGGAGGGTATCTACTCGGTACTGGGATTAGTTTGGTAATAACTTGCTACCGGAGGGGTAGTAGTTTGTTTGTGAGGGGTAAATTTTTCATTACTAGAACATTACTAATGCCCCTTATTTCTAGTGCAGGTAGAGCCAAATATACATGTATTCCGGGCAGTAATGATTTAATACCAGTTTTCTAAGAGTGCATTTGTACCGCTTTCACCCACTTTATTTGGCTGGATGCATACCGAAATCTCAAAAAGCGTGAAAACAAAATCAATTCAGACACATTTTTTGCCGTGTGAATACAAACCTTTGAATTTTATTTGTATGTAATTGATTCCAAACTTTTACTATCATTACACCACGTACGAACCTAATTACGTATGTACAACCCTCCATTTTCAACAGTATATTTGCATAAAGCCACCTAAATTAGTTCATGCAAATATCAATGTATTGAAACCAAAATGAGAACCCGTGTAATTGAATCTGGCCGAATTACAAAGGACCCAAATTAAATAGAAATTAGATCAATCTTAAAATTAGGAGAATTACCCGGGTAGAAAATTTTGTCATTTATTTGTAAATTATTCTTCTCCTTCTTCCCAACTTTTGTCGAATGAAAGTTGGACTCAATTTGATTTTAATAGATTGAGAAATTCAATTTCGGATTAAATTAATACTTTGAAAACTTAATCGACTCCCTTTTGTCATAAAGTTTCGTAAAGTGTATGAATAACTTACAATGCAAAGTTGGTTCGTTGCTTGCTTTCTTTCTTTGTGTACTACGTTTCCTAGAATTCCTTTCGTCACCAGCACCAGCACCTAAGCAAATAATCCGCCAAATGTTGTACGCACTTTGTTCGCACCTTTTCACTCACAAATACTTTTCATGCATAGTTTTACACACTTTTTTTGCTAACGAACCATTAAAATTCCGGAGTGCTTAATTCCATAATATTCAGTCAATCGTTTTACAAATTCATCGCAGATTTTGATATGTTCTGGTTAGTTAAATAATTGGCAACTATATTGATATGTAGGTTGCAGTTTGTACTTGTTTTTTTAGCAGAGATTGAGAGCAGGCCGACCGCTCAATGAACGAAACACCCAACAAAGTTTATAAATAGAGACGTGAACTTCATTTCATGTCATTTGTGGTGACGAGGCGAGTGGAATAATTAGAATTATTCTACTACTTAATGCAGAGTCACGTCGTTTCACAGCATTTTTTCGTAGACGCGATGAGATATGTGGGTAATTTCTTTGATATGTATTTGGTATTTCTTACTTAAGTATTTTTTGGTGATCAATGAAAATACGATAAAGTGAAAGTAAAAGTGAAAGCTATTATTTTTTTACTTGGATCCGATCCGTGCCTTAATCTTTAGCCCGGAATGATAAAAGTGGTGATGATATTGTGAAATCACGGTTGAAGAAAACTCAAAATCCGGTTCAAGGTCTCTCCGAATCAAGAATGAAGGATAATAATGATTCCCTGCTACTTATTTGGCCCTGCAGCCGTAGTAGTCGGTCGTAGTAGTGAAAAGTGGTGGTGGTAGTAAGTAGTAGATATTATTACGAGAGATGAATTTGATTCGGTTTTCTGGGTTACGTTAGTCCTTGAACATTTCCCTTCTCTTGTACCTGGACGTGTTGTCTGTGAGTGTGTGGTGTGTGTGTTTGTGTGTGATCTGCAGTTGGTCGCTTCCCCACTTTTACTCCTCTCTTTCTGACCTGGCAGAATTATTTATTTAGAGCCTGAATCCAGATATTCCACCACTTTTCGGCTCCGCTGCACCAACAACGACGACGACGAGTAAAAGTCTCTCACTCACTCACTCACCCACCAACGCTTTCACTCTGTAACAACATGTATTTTAATACGGATAACAAATCCAGCCAGGAAAATTAGTCTCGTCTATGTCTGGGAGAAAGTAGTAGAAACACTGCCGGGAGATCAGCCGTCCGTCGGTCGGTCGGTCGCCGTCACAGCTCAGCAGAGCTCAACTCCTCCAGGGCTCGAGTTCCAAGAGGTGACCACTATTCCCATGTTCCAAAGTCGTCTTTTCAGAGAAAGAGAGCGAGAAATAGTAGGAAGAAGAAGGTGTTGTTGATATGTAAATATGTTGTCCTCTGATGGAACGGCACTACTTAGCGAGTAGTAAGTAGGCAAGAAGAGAAGCGCGTGAGTGAGTGCTTGTTCGAAGCTTGTCCAAGTCTCGAAGCAACGACGGATAACGAACGACTGTTAGAAAATCCGCAGTGCAGACCGAAAAGACGATGGAACGGGCGAGTTAATGCTTCACGAGGAAGTATGGGTGCGAGTGGCACGTAGAATTTAGATTTGGAGCTGAACTGTTGTACTAGTCCAGTCCACGGAGCAATTCCAAGAGCAATTCTGCCAGAGAAAGGAGCCAGAGCCAGGCACCACACGGGCAGAGGCAGAGAGAAGCAAGACTTGAGTTGGAGAAAATTCATACCACTATTCCTACTGAAGATGATGATGGTCCGGGTGGGGTGCAAGAGTGCGTGCTTATCGAATAGATAAGGCAAAGAAAATAAGATACACGTCCCCCCCAAAATTTTAGGTACCGAAATTCCCAAGAAAAATTGACATTTCCGAAAAAGTGAAAGTAGTGAAAGCATATCCACACATTTCCACCGTGAGCTCTATGCATGCTGCAAAGTCTCCTGATTTGAACATCAGACAAACGCAGCAGTCGCTCCGACTACCCGCTTTCGATACCCGGGAAAAAGCGACGAGGAAAGAACCGAAACCCCGGGAGAAAGTTGTAGTAGCTTTGGAGTGGAGTCGTGTGGTGGTTGGTAGTACATAGTAGTGGCTGCTGCTTGGTATGGCATGAGGCATAAAATACACTCTGGAATAGGCATCTTATCCCTACGAACCACACTAACTCACCATTACCTTCTCTCTGTCTCGACCGAGAAACATGGAAATGCAATGCACTACCTCGTCGTAGTAGATTTCAGTTTAGATTACAACGGCAGCTTTGCTACTAACATGCCGAGTATAATAAAGCACACATTTTATGTGTGTATGTACAAGGACAATGGGGTATAAGAAATGGTCAATTCTGCCTACAAAATTTATGCTACAATGCCCCAGATGAGGTATGCACCTGTGTAGAGAGAGCAGCAATCAAGGTCATGTCAATTGTTCCCCAGATCGAGAGATGTGTTACGCAGCAGACCTTTCTCTCTCGCTTTCCCTCTCTGGTCGGTCTGGCTCTTGTAAAGTGAAAGGAATAATAAAGGCTACTGGGCAGGATAATGTATGTACAGTGTTGTGTACATGCACACATGCACCCTTAGAAAACTGGTATTAAATCATTACTGGCATATGACTTTACCGGCACTGGTAATAACGGGCAGACAGTTTAGTAATTTTCTGGTAATGAGAAATTTACCACTGAGAAACAAACTACTACCCCTCCGGTACGAAATTATTACCAAATCAATACCAGTACCGAGTATATATCTCACCCCTACCAGATTTTTAACAGTGTACATTTTACAACCACAAAAATGCCGTCCTTCTCATTCTGCAGTTCATAATGTGACATGTTTCTCTTCTTACAATATGAGTACGTCCACTTGAAAGTAGTTCCCACACGGTGCACATTTTGTCCCGTGAATCACAAAAGCCACTCTAAAAACGTGGGAATCATAATGTTGAATTGGGAAAAGTATACGTTTTTCCCCGTCTCACGTCTACCTGCCGGTTCATCTCTGCTCCATGTATGTCATTCCAGTAATGAAAATATATTCGAGGCATGGCAGCGGAGGTGAGTTTGTCGAGAAAGGTGACACACTCGACAGGCGAGAGAGAAAGGGAGAGAAAGGTGAACCGTCGTAGTTTCAGTTTTACATCCACAGCAGCAATAAATATTGTTATGGACTTGTGTAACTCCAGCCAGCCAGCCCTCCTCCCTTCACTCTCACTTTACTTTACTGCTTGACTATGCATTAAGACCAAAGAGCATAAAACAGCACAAGAAAGTTCCAAGGTTTTATCATCTAATGCTGGTTGGGCTCGCCGTCAACTAATATAATCCAGCAGAGTGGATGCAGGTGGAGGGAGAAAGTAAGTAAGTGCCAGAGACTCATGCACGGTGGGTGAAAGTTGGGAGAAAAAGGACTTGATATCAGCCTTTACGGATGACTTTGCTTCTCCACTATAGGGGAAAACAATGGGAGGATATATGCATGCATGCATGACAAGCCAAATTCAGGGGGCAAGTCAATCTCGTGTCAATAGTCTCTCTCTCTGTCTCACTTTTGATGCGAGTGATTTAAAGTTTGCCCCATACGCTGCTAACTTAAGTTAGGAGGAGACTGCTCACTACGTGGGGATACCTACTTATGAAACAGACAGGAAAGAATGACATTTCCTCACTGGTTTCATAATGCGTATTACTAAACTAGAGTAGAAATCCATTCTTATTCTTACAGATGAGGTTATGATTACAAATACTACAGGGAAAAGAATCATCCAAGAATGTAGTCAGTAATGAGAAGCTTAAAAAGACGGCTCTCGTTCAATTTCCATCGCTTTTCCATCGCTTTTGACAAATAAGTAAACGCCTAGAGTTTGTTGTTCCAGATTTACGTTTGACCATGATTTGTACATTTTAAACACCTCTATTTCAAAGATGTAATTAAAGTTTATACCAGTACTGGCTATACAGAAAATTGTACAAATGAGTTGTTCAGCTTTCTCAATATTTTTAAGATTTATTATTCTTCGTGTGACTGACGTGATACAGTCGATTATTAACACGAAATGGGACTTTGATGCTCGAAATATTGTAAATATATGTAAACACTTGGCTGGGGAGAAAGTTTACGGAATGCCGTTCATTGCATGTTTAGTCTCATGTAAGCTTCCTTCTTCTCGGTCTGGTGTTTATGATCATACTTCACACACCTTCATGAGCAAGGAATCTGCTACGTATATGCATGTGTGGGAAAAGTAATTGAAAGTTGGATTGGAAACGTATCAAAATTATTTCCCTTTTGATGACGGCAAGCTCAATGAAAATGTACGTGTTTCCCGAGCAATGAAATAGTCTTTACGGTTGTATGTATAAAATTGCATTGTTTTGCATATATGTATATCTTACCTTCAAATGGTTGTGTGTATTCGATTCACAAAAATTTGCATGCCACACTTTACACACACTTAAACTGCTCTCTTATTTCTATTTGCACGAAACGAAATACAAGATGGAAGACATTTACTTATAATATTCCTGCATCGTTAAGCTTGCCACAGATTAAGCGCAAGCAGTGATGAAAGGAAATGGATGTTGAAGTGGTTGCACTTAAGAACTGATTTAGATGATTGACCGTTGTACTTACTAAATCTCGTCTGCCTTAATTCGTGTACAGTAAAATTCGGACGAATTAACGAGTGGGATGGAATGGAGGCTAACTTTGGTGGTATCAAAAAAATTCCCCCTTCTAATTTAGCTCGGCTCGAGTTAAGCAAACACTTATAAATTGACTATCTTGTCATGCTGTGTGTGTCATCATTCTGAATCTGTCTGTGGATCAAACTATGGTAGCCGGCAGGACATATAATCAGAGGGTGGATATGTATTTCAGAAAAATTTGCTGAAATATGTATTTAATATTTTTAAAAAACAATACTTACGAATAGATACAAAAACAATTGTATTTCTGAATATGGATTTTTGTGGTCGAATTTCTTTAAGCAGAAAAATTTCGCCTTAAAATGTTTGCAAAATATATATTTTTAAAAAAATATCTAAAAGATTTACGTATTTATCAAATAGTAGCGAGAATATTTACGAGCATCTTTATATATCTGAAAACTAAAAAAAATGAAATGTTTGTAATCTATACGAGTTAAGGGACACATAGACAAAGTCTAACAGTTAGTCGTCGTCAAATTAAAAAGTAGAAAAGAAATACATATCCGTACTCCGCTAATAATTGAGACAATTTGCAAGAAAGTTGCGTTAGTGCGAGCGAGAGCAATGCAATGGGTGAACGTATGCATATAAATAATGCTTTGTGTAAAAGTTGGGAGAAAAGGAACGTGTTCAACTGCACGCGTATAATGACGAGAGTCTCGTTTTGCAGTTTTGTTATGTCTGCTCAAAAAGCGTTGAATAGCATCCCTCGTCACTGGATGGATGAATATCATCATTGTACTTAATTGTGTGTGTAAATTGACTGGAATCCGTATGTATTTATGTATGTAGAGTATTATTTAGCAGTCATTTCATAGGCATGCTTTTTGTTGGAGGGTGCGTTGTTAATGATATAAATCTGATTGGGGTAACTCCTCCCGACAGGATTTTCGTGTTATTGCGGAACAAAGCTACATGTTCAATGGATTTATTATGGTGAAGATAGATTAATAGACATGCATGACACAGTTCGAAACGGAATGCTCGGGATTCTGAATATACCGTAATTTGGTGTGAATATACATACAATTTTTGAATTAATTTGACGCCAGTAATATATTCTAATGAATTATAACTTCTTTAAATCATTAAGATAGATGACAAATATATGTCCATGGTCATGAGATTAGTGAAATAGTCTACCTAAATTTTGTAAAATTTCTGCATTTTCGACTTTTACGGTAAAGATTGTTGCTTTAATTTGATTCCATTTTTCCTAGCTTGTTATTTAAAAACGGTGATACATCCGAAGATAAGGTTTTTTTACAAGGCAGAAAACAATTCTACCAATCTTTACAAAATTTAAATATTAAATTTGTTAAAATTTGTGAAGGTGAAGACACTCCTCAAGTCCTTATATTTATAATGCGTATTTTGGGGTAAGATCAAAATAAATTTATATTTAGCAAAAATAATGACACAGTTAAGAATAGCTAAGAATTATCTAGTACAATCTAACAATGAAAATTGGAGAATGGATTTCAAAATATACGATCTCTCAATGGTCACGTTTGACAGATATATTTGCATCTGAAGAGAAACCCCCCAGTAAATTTGGAAAGTGTTAAATTTGTAGACTTTTTTTCCTCTTTGGATGCAAATATCTCTGCCAAACGTGCCCATTGGGAGATCGTATCTTTTGAAAATTTCGTATTAATTAAGTTTGTGATCGATTGACACTAATTTGGTCAAAATCTGAGAGCATACCCCGTGAGACCTCCATTGTAAGTTTAACAAACTGTAAATATGTACAAAATGACCTTGCTCACTTATATTTAAATAAATACGTACATACATGCTATAAATAAATGACTTGCAATACGATAAAGTGCAGAGAAAATCATTTCATAAATTAACCTACGAAATTGTATCAAAGATAAAATCATAATTTCATGTCTGGTCAAAATCATAAATAAAAAGTA